CCAAATTAATGCTGATTTGACAGAGGCCCCAGCCCCAGCGTGCGGCAAATCCAGAGCCCCCCGGGCACCCCTTTGTGATTAACGACTCCAGTGTGACACAGCAGGGCCCATAGACTTGCAGGGGAACTTATTGCTATAAAAGAAGGGTGTATGGCCATGGGACTTTGGGTTCATTCTGCGTCAACACCGGAGCTTTGAATGCATTTGGCAGAGGCCCCAGCTCCCCCTCCCTTGTGTGCATTTCCAGTTGGCCACAGAAATTGAAAGAGCAGCGCTAAGGACTGGTAACTATAAGATCCATTGGTGTGTATGTGTGTTTGTGTGTGTGTGTGTGTGTGTGTGAGAATGGAAGCATATGCTGATTTTAATGCTTAAATTGTTCTCTCAAGAAACACAGCGTATTGCCTTATCCCCTTGAAAAAGATTCCACGTGCTTCTTATAAGCATAACAAGAGGTCACTTCACCTGCCCATGCCAGGGGCTACAGGTTTGTTTCCAGCTATTGAACCACTTGGACCAAGAAGCCCTGCGTCCTCCTGCCCTGGGTGTAGGCTGTGGGTTACACTAATCACTATCAGTGCTGGGTGAGAGAACATGCCCTGATCCTCCCTGTGTGTGAGATAGACAAGGGTGCGGCTCTGATCACCCTGATACCAGCTCCCGCCGGTCAGTATGTACATGATGCCCAGAGTGTCTCTGACTTCCTCCCCCATAAGCACGTTGTCAGAGTCAGACACCTACTCTGCTTCTGCTGCCCCATTGGGTCTATCAACCCACAAAGGGGGTTCAGCCCTGTCCCCTGTCTGTGGGGTCCCTGTCCTGTCTGGGGAGGTGCCATCTCCCTGGGGTATTCACACACACAGAGCCAGGAGCATCACTGGTCCAGCCATTCCTGCATCCCACCTCCCGCAGGGTCAGTCCTGGATGCTCCCAGCCAACATCCCCAGTGGCCTTGTATCCAAGTCAGGTGGGTCCAGCACTGGCAGGGTGGGGAGATGGGTCTAGAATGGATGTACGGGGATCTAGATGAAACTAGAAGAGATCTATATGAATGTGGATGGATCTAGAATGGATCCACATGTAGCTATGTGGATATGGATATATCTAGAATGGAATTGCATCAACTTAAATTAATCTAGAATTAATGTAAATAGAGTTAGTCAGGTATTCACACATCTGCATTGATCTCAAATGGTTTTTACAGTGGGTCCTGTGGGGAGCAGGGCCTTGACCCGGCAAGGGGAGCTCTGTGCAGCAGTGAGGGTCTCTCTCCGATCGTACTGGGCCAAGGGGGTTATAGTGAACCCTGCAGCCTCTCCTGAGTGTGGTTGGGGCTATCAGAGCAGCCCGAAGGGTTGGGTGGCCCAGCCCCCAAAGGCTCCTGTGGGACCCCTCTGCCAAGATGTGTCCTACACAGGGAGGCTGGTCATGGGGTGAGGCCACTGGGCTGGGACCCAAAAAATCTGGGACCAGTTCCCAGCTCAGCCCAGGATCCGATTCTGCCCGTGTTTGTCTGAAGTGAACACTGGGCTGCACCGATCCAAAAACTTTGGAGACCACTGCTCTAGGGGCCTTC